TTCTCATCTCTGTTATCATGTTTCCTCATCACAAACACACCTGGGGTTTTGTTTCACGAGGCTCTTCTCTCAAACTGAAAACACTCTGTTCCACCTTGTGATGTCATGTGCTCCTCTGTGTTTTTCAACTCCTACATCTTCACTTGAATCGTTTGGATGACAATTGTGACAGTGACAACTATAAACAATATATTACAAGTAAAATCTAATTATGGATGGATTCTAAGTTATTGCTAAATTTAAACAAGACAAAAGATATATATTTTTGGTAATTATAAAATAGATTCTGAAGTTTCAATTCATACTGATGGTGTTAAAATCAAGTGGGTTTCTGATAATACATTTTTAGGTATAACGACAGATGAAAAGATAAGCTGGAAACCACACATCAGCTCAGATACACACAATTTCAAAAGTATTGCAGTAATGAACAAAGTGAAATACATTCTTAATCAAAAGGCTCTTTACATACTTCCAAAGTTGACGTATTGTATTGAAATTTGAGGCAATAATTACCAACCTTTACTTCTTCCCCTTTTCATATTGCAAAATGCGAGGTGAGAATAATGCTACGGGAGCCGAGAGGGGTCACAACAAACGCAAACGCCGCAACAAATACAAACGCGACAACACGACAAAAAGCCACAACACACCAAAAAAAGCCACAACGGAAATGACCGCGGGACTCTATTTTAATGCAAACGCCGCAACAAATACAAACGCCGCAACACAAACGCCGCAACACATTAAAAAGCCACAACACATTAAAAAGCCGCAACACATAAAAAAGCCGCAACACATTAAAAAGCCACAATGGAAATGACCGCGGGACTCTATTTTAATGCAAACGCCGCAACAAATACAAACGACACAACACAAACGCCACAACACATTAAAAAGCCACAACACATTAAAAAGCCACAACGGAAGTGACCGCGGGATCTATTTTCCGATGGACTGATCAAGAAGCAAGTGAAGAAGAAGAACTACGACGTGAAAAGTAAAGGAACGGAGAAGTTGGAAATGTAAGTAAAAGTAATTTATTGTTTTATCATTATTCGTTTCACGTTGTAGTTCTTCTTCTTCACTTGCCGCTTGATCGGTCCGTCGGAAAATAGAGTCCCGCGGTCACTTCCGTTGTGGCTTTTTAATGTGTTGAGGCGTTTGCGTTTGTGTTGTGGTGTTTGTATTTGTTGCGGCGTTGGTATTAAAATAGAGTCCTGCGGTCATTTCCGTTGTGGCTTTTTGTCGTGTCGTCATTTGTATTTGTTGCGGCGTTTGCGTTTGTTGTGACCCCTCTCGACTTCCGTATAATGCATACAATAAAAAATAAAAGTTTTGGGCTAAAATTATATTTAGTATGCACAGTATGTCATTTTATTTTGCTATATGTAAGTATTTGTAAAGTTCCATGATCAATGTACAGAAGCAACCACATCATTTTTCTAACTATGTCATGAACAGGGCTGCACAGCAAAAACCGGAGGGTTAAAATTTTAGAGTAAAATATTTCAGAGTTGTTGTTAACACCAAAAGTGTTATTTTAACTATTTGACAGTTAAATGGGGGTTTGAGTTGGGGTTATTTGTCAGAGCTGATGTAGTTGAGATTAGTTCAACTTCCTCTAGTGTTAATTCAACTTCTCTTCGTGTTAATTCAACTTCTCTTAGTGTTAATTGGCTCCTCCCATTCACCACTTCAAATTCTTGTGAGAGAAGACCAGTTTGAACCAGTTTTGTACATAATTTTATCTTAAATTAACTCAAATAAAGTAAAAATTAAATAAAACAACTCTGTGTGTTGTTCAGCTAAATCAGGATAACTCTACAAAGTGTTATCCGTTTACTCTCAAAACGTTAATATAACTCTGGATTTTGGGGTTAAACAGGAACTTTGGTCCAGTGTCACTTAATTTATCATTTTTGGAAATGTTAATTAACTCTAGAACAGACTGGACTCATATAAACTCTGAGAAAATGTTAAAGCTGATTCCGTGAGAGTCAATTTTAACACTCCACTTTTTGCTGAGTGGATTAATACATTTTTCTTCTTTCCAGTCCTTTTCGAGAAATGTGCTTTTCATTTGTTTACAATGTACATGTAGTATGTGTATAATTATTGTTTTTCTCTTGGCACAAACTAAAAAAAAAACCCCAAAACGATTCAATCAATGATTTCAGCCTTGGAATTTCCAATTTCTACTGAAGGTAAAAGGATCTGTTAACTTGAAAACTATCACTTCATGACATCACGAGGTGGAACAGAGCATGTAGACAGACTAATAATAAAGAATTACTCAAACATGTGAATGAAACAAAACACAACTCCAGGTAACAATGATCTAAAATGGTTTAAAGAGTCAATTTCGCACAATATCCTTTAATCTTTAGTGTGTTTGTGAGAGACAGACTCACCTTACAGCCTTCACATGTGATCACTCCATAATGGATGCCTGACGATTTGTCTCCACAAATCTTGCAGGGAATTATTTCGATTTGAGCTGTGAACAAAACAGAAGAGAACACGAGATGAGCCGTTTCATACGACAACACAATAAAACATTTCATCTGCGGCACACGAGAGCTCTTCACTTTGGTTTACTCCAGCGCTTTGACATGAAATAAATCTGTGTGTCATTTATTCAGTTGTTTTTCAAAATAAAACCAAAAATAAGAAAACGAAAAAACAACAGTTTTCTTCATTATTTGTTTCCAAAACCAAAATGAAAAAACAGATAATGATTTGTTTTTCAGTTTTTTAATTTTGTGTTTAAATGAAAAAATTGATTACGTGACTTAAACTGTGATGCCGGACTGAACCAGGACTGAACCAGGTCCGGGACCAGACCGAGACTGAGACCAGAACTGAGACCAATACTGAGACTGAGACTGAGACTGAAACCAGGACCAGACTGAGACTGAGACCGAGACCAGATGGAGACTGAGACTGGGACCAGAGCGAGACTGAGACCGAGACCAGACCGGGACTGAGACCGGGACTGAGACCGGGACTGAGACCGAGACCGGGACCGGGACCAGACTGGGACCAGACTGGGACTGAGACTCGGACCAGACCGAGACAAGGACCAGACCGAGACCAGACCGGAACTGAGACTGGGACCAGACTGAGACCAGACCGGGACTGAGACCGAGACCAGACCGAGACCAGACTGGGACTGAGACCGAGACCAGACCGGGACTGAGACTGGGACCAGACTGAGACCAGACCGGGACTGAGACCGAGACCAGACCAGGACCAGACTAGGACTGAGACCAGGACCAGACCGAGACCAGACCGGGACTGAGACCGGGACCAGGCCGGGACCAGACTAGGACTGAGACCGGGACTGAGACCGGGACCAGACTGGGACTGAAACCGGGACCAGACCGAGACCAGACCGGAGGCTTAGAGCTCACCGTAGGGCCGGAGCTCAAAGCTGAGGCTCGGACCCCGCGGAGGCTCGGAGTCAAAGCTCGGAGTCCGCTCTTGTCCCGGACCTGGATCAGTCCTGGTTCAGTCCTGGTTCAGTCCGTATGCGGTGCAAAAGTCCAACATCCCAGTCACGGAAGTCTTCATTAAAACAAAAAAATCAAAAACTGAAAAAAAGGAATCATTATCTGTTTTTTTCATTTTGGTTTTGGAGACAAATAATGATGAAAATAATTGTTTTGTTTTCTGTTTCTTATTTTTGCTTTTATATTGAAAAACGAATGAACGAATGACACACGGATTACACAACAGCACAATAAAACATTTCATCTGCGGCGCACGAGAGCTCTTCACTTTGGTTCGCTCCAGCGCTTTGACACGAGCTGCTCTTCTGCGATTCACAACCAAACAATCTGACGCAAATATCTACAAAGTAATCACCGTGCCGTAAGAGATAATAGAACACACGAATACGCACGCTCACACACTCTGACACACACACACACACACACTCACGCTTTTATCTGATCTCCACCAGGAAAGATCACCGTGGGACATTTTCTCACAGTGTCAGACTTTTCTGCATCAAACTCACAGCGGCCGGCCACGAGTCGGCGTCAGCTCGAGAGGGAGCGATGATAATTCTGTCCTGATAATATGATAATGACCGCGAGAGTTACACCGCGTTTCATCAGACGCTGCGCCGCGCTCGGACCTGAAGGGGGCAGCGTCTCGGGCTCCTCCCTCGCCGCGTAAACACCGTCGTACATCAGCTTCTGCTTATTATTAAACAGCTCTGCCTCACGTTTATTCAATTACAAGTGGTTTTACGGCGCTATTAAAAAGCACATTAAGAGCGTTTAGCAGCTCTAACACACGAGCGCGAGGAGAATGTGAACGTTAAATATAATTGCGCGTAATAAAAACGATATTAAAACAAGTGAATGAAGCTTAATGTGTAAAACTCGCGCTGTAATGTTTCAAAAAAGGTCATAAAGTGAGATTTTCCGAACATTTGCGGTCAGTTTTCAGGACTTTTTCCACCAAACTTGACATTTACAGGCATGATTTTGCATATTTAAAGGTGCACTGTGTAACTTTTCTGGTGTTGGGTGCGTCATTTGCTTGTTTCTATGGATACGTCATCGCTCTGCTGATTCCACAGCGTGACATTAAAAAGATGTATTTTATATTTATTCATTTACAGGTGGTTTTATAGCTTAAAAATATGTAGAAAAACAGGCGTTTTGACTCTGAGCAGGGTCGCCTCTCCACAGATGTGGCCTGTAACTTGGTCTGTTACAGGTCAAAATCATACTTTTTTTTTTTCCTTTAGGACAGGGGTCTGCAACCTGTAACTCTCAACCTCCTTCCAAGCAAGCTCACCAAAGATTTCTAATTTGACTCAAATTTAATGAAATATATGATGTTGATGTCCAAGTTTGTGCAGTAATAGATGGATGAAGGATTTATGTTTTATAGCTATTAAACTGTCGATCTAAGGCCTTTCTATGTTTAATCTTTTGTGACCACTAAAATTAGTAGCTCTTTGGCAATTTCTTGGTTGCTCACAGGAAGAAAAAGGTTTGAGATCCCTGCTTTAGGGAAATTGTTGTCTGCATTTGACCCACCCTCCAGGAGCAGCGGGCAGCACATGAGGCGCTCGGGGACCCAGCACCGTGATATTGTTACTAGACTTGATCAGGTCTGCTTTAGCTGGAGGATTTAACGTATGGTGCATGTTTGGTGCATGTTTGGATGTTTTGGTGCATGTTTGGATGTTCTGGTGCATGTTTTGGTGCATTTTTGGATGTTTTGGTGGATGTTTTGGTGGATGTTTTGGTGCATGTTTTGGTGCATGTTTGGATGTTTTGGATGTTTTGGTGCATGTTTTGGATGTTTTGGTGGATGTTTTGGTGCATGTTTTGATGTTTTGGTGGATGTTTTGGTGCATGTTTGGTGCATGTTTTTGGTGCATGTTTGGATGTTTTGGTGCATGTTTGGTGGATGTTTTGGTGGATGTTTTGGTGCATATTTTGGTGGATGTTTGTATGTTTTGGTGGATGTTTTGGATGTTTTGGTGCATGTTTGGATGTTTTGGTGCATGTTTGGTGGGGATGTTTTGTGTTTTTGGATGTTTTGGTGCATGTTTGATGTTTGGTGGATGTTTTGGTGCATGTTTTTGATGTTTTGGTGCATTTTGGTGCATATTTTGGTGCATGTTTTGTATGTTTTGGTTGGCATGTTTTGGTGCATGTTTGGTGGATGTTTGGATGTTTTGGTGATTTGGATGTTTTGGTGCATGTTTGTGCATGTTTTTGGTGCATGTTTTTGTGGCATGTTTGGATGTTTGGATGTTTTGGTGCATGTTTTGGTGCATGTTTTGGTGCATGTTTGGATGTTTTGGATGTTTTGGTGCATGTTTGGTGCATGTTTTGGTGCATGTTTGGATGTTTTGGTGCATGTTTGGTGGATGTTTTGGTGTTTTGGTGCATGTTTGGATGTTTGGTGCATGTTTTTGGTGCATGTTTGGTGGATGTTTGTATGTTTTGGTGCATGTTTGTATGTTTTGGTGCATGTTTTGGTGCATGTTTGTTGGATGTATGGTAGATTTTGGATTGTGTGAAATATTTCAGACAAAACAACAACATGTCCATGGTAAATGGTAAATAGTAAAATTTTTAAACAGCGCTTTTCCACCTTCAAGGCTTAAAGTGCTTTACAACAAAGAACCACTCACACATTCACACACACACACACTCATACACCAGTGTACACAGACACCGGGGGTGAGGTGGGTTAAGTGTCTTGCCCAAGGACACAACGACAGCAACCAACCTGTAGCAACCTGTGGGTTAGTGGATCTGGCTGCTCAAGCACTGTTTTATTTTATATCGAGAGCGAGACTTGAACCGCCAACCTTTAGAACAGAGGACGAACACTCGACCAACTGAGCAACTGTCGCCTATGACGAGCCCTCAGACAGAAAAGTTACACAATGCACCTTTAAAGCGTAACTAAACCCCAAAACCAACTTTTTAGCTGATAAAATGAAGTGAGAAACACCCTCTTCAGACTGAACAGTGAGCGGTTACAGCGTTAACTTTTCATGTAGTTTACAAAAAATGCAAAACACACAAAACAGTTCTGGATTAAAATCTGAACAATCTTTTTTGTGCATGAATAAATGGGAGGCTTAAACACCAATCCAAACAACTCATTAACAAACAGAACTACCACCACCTCCTCCTCTTCTTCACACTTATTAATTCCATAGTTGTAGTTATTCTCAACGTTGACTTGATCTCTCCAATAAACTATTAGAATCTACGAGTTACTACACACAATTAGTCATTTATATTTACTGACGCTGAAGCCTCACACACTTACTCACCCAAAATGTAAGACATAAACACTTAAATCTGCCAGAAAATGACTTAAAAGTAGCGAAATTATCCGTCCATGCAGCAAGATCTTAAAATAAATTAACTCTAGACTAGACTTAAGCAGAAAACAAGATGAATAACCTGATAGAAGTTTTAAAATCTTGGTTGGATCAGAGAAATTTGCAGAGCACTTATACACACACACATTTTATAACTCGTCTGCTGTGGCGTTGTTTGTATTTGTATTGTATTGTTCTGTATAATGTCTGTTTGCATGTTATATGTTGCAAAAAACTTTTTAAATTAAATAAATAAATAAATCAAAATACCGCTTAACATGTCTAAACCTAAAGGTAATTTTAGTACATTTCCTCGCCTGGATTTTTTTCTTAATTTTGCGATTAAAACTCCCCCTTTTACCCCCTAATGAAGTGTTATACATCCTTTTTTTCAGTACAGTCTTTTATTTAACAATCTGCATGTTGTTGTTGTGTCATATGGATGTAATTAAAGCTACAGGATCAGAAATACACATGAAAAAAAGATTAAAACGGAAAATAAAATTCACACTCTTTCGTACAAAACACACAGCAAACATGTATAAACAATAAAAACATGCTTAATTTAGGGCCTTAGCTACAAAAGTGTAAAATATCAAGTCTGTAAGTAAACTAAAAATATTCTT